GAATTCTGGCGGGAAGTGACTGGGAGGGGGCCCCAGACGCCTTCGGGCTGGCCGGTTTGCTGGGAGCTAACCACCGGGGTCCCACCTGGGCGTTGGGGGCTCCCCATGCCTGTGCTTTGGTGGCCAGCCGCAGGTCACGGTACTCACCTGGCAAAATGTGGGAAATCATACATTAAGAGGCTTTTCACCGGGACTCACAGGGGTTCCTCAACACGGGAGGACGACTAAGGGTGTGTGCGAGGATGCTGTATTCAAGGAAGGGACAGCCAGTGTAGACATCAACACAGCCGTTCCAAAAAGGAGAATTTCATCTTCTGGCACAGGCAGGCGAGCGAGGTGGCCCCCGAGACCCCCCCAGGCAGCGACTCTTGGGCTCTCAGGCACAAATGAGAAGCGCTTCGGAGCGCTCACCAGACTAGAGCCACAGACACCAGAGGAGGATCCGTCCCGAGCAGGCGCTCCTGCCCACAGCTGGCCTTGTGGGTGTGAGGCTCGCCGGCTAGATACAGCTAGGGTGGAGCCCCACAGAGGGACACACAGCCTGAGGGTGTGGGGTGGACGCAGGGCTGGACACGCACGTGGAGATGGAGCAGAAGAGCTGCCCCGGGAAACCTCAGCTGACGTGACCCTGCCAGGTGCTGCCTGACCTCAGAGGGTGGCCCATGAAAGAGGCCAGAGGGAATGGACTCTGAGAGCTGGCGCACAGCCCCAGGTCCTTGTGAGTGCATGTATTTCTCCACAGGGCTCAGCTCAGCTGGCAGACACAAAACTGACAGGCTGATGCCAGAGTGCAGGAAGTTAGGCTCAAGTCTCTGAAAGCAAGCAGGCCCTAAGTGGGTGAGATCCACTTAGAACACTGCCATGGCTAAATCCCGAGCTGGCCACCAAAGCAGCAGGCACGAGGGTCTCCCAGGGAGCAGATGAGTAGCGGCTAGAAGCCACAGGAAAAGATGAAGCAGCTGCTGCTTCACAGTGGGAAGAGGGAGCTTGCATTGCGTCTGGGGGTGTGGGTGTGTACCCAGGAGAACAGAAAAGTCACTATCTCCACAAGAACACAACAGCTTCCAGAGCTGCTGCAATATCCATTCATCCATCCGACTGTCCACCCAAGTATCAGCTGTTTATCATCTACCTACCTACCTACCTATGTACCTGTCACCCATTTATCCACCCAGCCCTCCTCCCTCCTAAAAATGGATACACATTCCACAAGAGAACACCTGCTCGGGAGCAAGCCAGCCAGTGAGAGTGACACTGGTTGGTCCAGATGGCGGATTTTACGTGAGCTACTGTAACTACATTCACAGAACTCAAGGGAGACGTGCTGTGAGTGAAGCAAATGGGTGTGAGCCTCACCCAAGAAACCAGCTGCAGCAGATACGCAGGAAATCACGAATGGAAAAGAACAGTCAGTGTTGCTTGCACAGAGGGCCATGTCCTGAGAAACTCCAATAGCAATTCTGGTAGCGCTTGAGCTTCTTAGCAATGTAAATTCTCAGGCTTTTCCCACAAATCAGAAGCTGGGGGGTGGGGCCCAAGATCAGTGTCCTGACAAACCCTCTAGGGGACTTGGTGCACACTGAGTCTGGGACCACGTGCCCGATCGCGTCCAGCCTGTGTCCTGTCCGTTTGCACGGTTGCTACACACTAGCCTTCAACGCCCCTCTTCCTGGAAGCCTCCAAGATCACCTGTTTCGGCCGCCGCCCCCAAACGCGGTGCACCTGTTTCGGTCGCCTCCAAAGTAAGCTCCAGGAGGGAGGAGCCGCGTCCGCAGAGGCGTGCAGGGAGGTTGAACGCACGAAGGAATGGCGGATGCGTGAGGGGCACAGACAGACTTCAGGAGCCTTTCCTGAGGTGGAGCCGGAGTCCAGCCACAGGCGCCGGGGGGCTCTCAGTGCGTGCTGAGGTGACTTAGACGGGGGGCG